GCTTGTGGGAGCTCCGGGAGGGTGTCTGCAGCCTGGCGCTGTGCTCCAGTGCTGCTAGGGGACCCCCTCCTGGGGAAGGGAGCCTGGGGCGCCTGGGCTCGGAAGTCTCTGGTTTGGAAACACCTGTCAGAGGTGCCTTGGCCCCCACAGGCCTGGCCTCCTGCGTGGGGCTCCTAGGGGTTAGTGTTGCAAAGAACGCTTCCCCGCCTGCCTGCTCCCCACTGACCTTTCTTCTTGGGGTACCGGAAACTGCACCATGCCTCCATCCCTGCTCCCCCTGGCCGGCCTCGAGGCCACCCAGGCACCACCCGCCTCATACTGAGTTAGGTCCTCCAGTGGTGGTCCCCCCACAGCCCCCCTCCCTGTAGGTGGGAGAGACTTTCTGAGACGCTAGTCCCATCCTGTACCTCCTGTGCGTCATGCTCCCCGATCCTGTTGCCGTCGGACCCTACCCTCCTTAGAGTCCTGTCCTTGCCCTGCCTCCCCCATTGGCCCTCTGCACGGCTCGTCCTTGTAAGGAGCATGCTCTGCCCTGACTCCAGGCCTTTGCACAGGCTGCTTCCTCTGCCTGGACGTTGGCCCTGTTTGGCCTCATTCTTGCCTCAGTGCCACTTCTTCCAGGAAGTCTCCCTGGCTTTCTCTGACTCCACACTCATCAAAGCCCTTCTCACTCTGCTGGGATCCTTGCTGAACTACTAGATCAGTGAGAGTGGGGCTGTCTCCCCCAGCATCTGCCTGACTTGGGGGCTTCTGGCATCAGTGCTGAGTGATTGAATTAGTGCGAGGTGGGCAGGAGGGGCTCTGGGTTCTCTGAGGATGTGGCAGAGGTGGGCTGGGGTCTGGCGCCCCATGCGGCAGGTGCTGGGTGCACTGGCTCAGAGCTGGTGCTACCTGGCCCCAGTGGGTGTTGGGCTCAGGCTGACCCCTCCACCCGGTTGCAGCCGTGCAGGAGGAGCGGCAGCGGGGCAAGGACCGCAATGAGAATGAGGTGGAATCCACCAGCAGTGCCAACGAGGACATGCCCGTGGAGAAGATCCTGGAGGCCGAGCTGGCTGTGGAGCCCAAGACGGAGACGTACGTGGAGGCAACTGTGGGGCTGAACCCCAGCTCGGTGAGTGCCTGCCGCCCACTCGGCCCCTCCCCCTGGGGGCTTCTTGCGCCCCATCCACTCTGTGCGGTGCTTGCCCTCTCTGGGGCGGCTCTGTGGGCAGGGCCTCCTCGGCCTGGCTGTGTCCAGGTGGCTGGGTAGGTCCTCTAGGGGCTTGGCTCCTGCCCTGCAGCCCCGCCCTCCCTCGCGGCCCCTCTGTGGCGCCTGGACCCTGTGTTCACTGACTACCCCCCGGGGCCCAGTGGGACCCTGCTCTGAGCTGACAGGACGCCGCTCTAGGGAGGGCAGGTGGGGGCCTGCAGGCCTCTGGGTCACATGCTGCTATTGTGCAGCTCTGGCCCCTCACCCCCTGGTTGGGCCTCTGTCCTCCCGGACCGCCTTGCCCTCTCTGTCCCCAACAGCCTCAAGGTGATGGGTGGGTGGGCTGCAGCCCCTCCCCCAGGCGCTCTCTAGGGCTGAGCCAGAGCCTCTGGCCCTCACACGGAGTCACCTCCATCCCGTTCCCCTCATGGTGTCTGCCTGAAAACCAGGCTGCCCTCTGGCTTCCCCTGTGCTGTCTGAGCATCTTGCCCCAGGGTGGCAGGGGCCCCGATCAGCCTTCCTGGGGCGGGCCCTGCAGGTATTTGCCAGCCGGGCGGGGATGTTTGTTTGCGTTCACCCTCGAGGCTCCTGCTGCCTTTGGCCCGCTGTGCAGCTGGGTGGGGACACCGCGTCTGCCCCTGGTTGTGGTCAGGGTTGTGCCCAGTCTTACATCCGCCTCTCTCGTGGGTTCGGAGCTGGGTTTAGTGCTCTTGCTGTCACAGAGACCTTGTCCAGGGCGGCCCTGAGTCCATCAGTCTCTCTCCTTCTGCCCCCTGGGACAGACACGCCCACTGCTCCCAGGGCCTCTGCCTGGAGCGCAGGGGACTCAGCTCAGGCGACACTTCCTAGGGAGCCTCCCTGTGCCCTGTGCCCCTGCCGGGTGGCCTAGCCCCTGCACTGTGGGCTCAGAGCCCCTGTGTCTCCCTCCGTGGCCCCTTAGCACGTGGTGACTGCAGAGTGAGGGGTGTGACTTTTAATTTCCTCCATGAGGCCAGGGGTGGTGGCTGGTGCCCACTGTCCTCTTGGAGCCCAGTACACTAACCCCACCCTGCCCCCTGGGCCCCCAGCGGTTCTCACCCCACCACCCCGCCCCATCTGAGGTGAGCCCCCTCATCTGCTCTCAAGGCTCCTGCAGCCTAGGCCCCCTGTAGCTGGGACACTGCCCACCTATGCTTCCCTGCCCCCCCGAGGGGGCAGTCATGCGCCCAGGGGCACAGCCCCTCAGCCCTCCACTGGTCATGAGCCAGGATGGCCCACCAGAGAAGACACACAGGGACCCCACGGCCATTCCGTCTGGGAGGGCCACCCTCTGGTCGCAGACTGACCCCTGATGGGTCACCAGAGCACCCCCCACCCCTGGCTCTGACCCTGGCCAGGTCTGTCCGGCCTGTGGTCCTGTCTGACAGACCTGAGGAGGGGGCCTGGCTGCCAGCGGTGAGGCCCTCCTGGGCCAGGTGCTCTGAGGAAGACCGGGAGCCCGACAGGGGTGCCGCCTCTGGCTTGTGCTGAGTCAGGATGCTGTTTGGGAACCTTCTGCCATCTACTCAGAGGAGGAAGGGTGGGCCCAGAGGCTGAGCCGAGCAGGCTGCTCCGAGTCCAGGCCGTCCTGAAGGCACGTCCTGGCTTCCTGCCGGCCTGCTGCCTGGCCCATGTCTTTCTGACCCCAGCTGAGTCCTCCTTGTTGGTTGGTCAGGGTCGTCCTTCTGGGAAAGGCTGACTAGGCCCCTTCCCTAATGGGCAAATGGCACCAGGGGGGCGCATCTCTCCAGCTCTGGGTCCATTATCACCCCTGGGGGACGGGCAGATGGT